TCAAAAGTACAGAGAGGTATCAAGAAGATCAAGTTTAAAAAAGAACGTGAAACACCAACCTGTGTGAAGTCTGAATGTATTCTAGTTGCATAGTTTATACTAGCAAGGTGGGCCTAAACACAAACATTAACTTGAAACATAGTTCCAAGCTGATAATATTCCTTAATGATAGTAGAAATAAACAACTTTTCTCCCTTTACAGGAATATTATCATATTTGATGCTTGCAAGTATCCTATAAAATATATACTACTATCCCAGTTTATTAAAAAATTTAAAAATAGGGATGTTGAGGAATTTGTTCAAAATCCTTATCTAATAAAGTTGGGGTTTAAACCTGGCTGTTGTTCTTTCAATGAAAACACATTTACTAAGTTTTACTACAAGCAGACACAAGGTGTATTCCCTTTTCAATACGTCACTGTCTAATCTTCCTTGTGTAAGTCAACAGATAAATGCAACTGTTTTCTTCTTTTTCAAGCTCAACAACTCAGTAAGAATGAAGGTAGCTAAGATCACAGGAAACCCACAAGAGTCCCCTGGATTTTGTCAACCAAAGCGGCTCAAGTCTCTCCTGGCAAAGGAATATTGCTGGAACACTTTAAAGTGAAAAGGGAAAAAATCAACAGGCTCTTTGAGGTAATGGAGCATGGGGTACTGCCCAATGGGAATTACTTGTATTGGAATTACTTGTATTGGAATAAATACATAATCAAAGTTCAAAAATATGTATTATTATAAGAAAAGTAAAGCTCTTCTGAGAAACAAAAATGAACATGAAAGTGATAACAGTAATAGTCGTATTAGGCTCAACCTCTAAAATATTTCTGAATGTTATTTGGGTTGTATTGAGAAAATCTCGATTTACAAACATATGTAGCTGCATATATTAACATTAAGTTTTTAAAAAATTAATATGCATTCTCAGATGCTGATCATCGCACATGTATGCATGCTTTATAAAAAATAGTTCTAGGAGCCTGCCTAGTAGCACAGGAGTTAAAGTCTCAGCACCGTCAAGCTATGTCCAGCCCCTGTGGCATGAATTTGATCCCCTGCAAGGGAGCTAAAGCACACGGCACAGCAGACCTCTCTTGTTTTGTGGGCTGCTCCCCTTTAGCAATGTATTTCAGTAGATCCATCTGTTCTGCCCCCCACTCTGTCTCTGCTGAATCCTCAATCTGCTCATCCTCTACCTCATACACACACCTTTGCCTACACCCCAGTTCTTGTATGCATAAACAACATAATTTTTAAAAATAGGCTACACATTTTTTAAAAGATTTATTTATGCATACAGAAATGGGGTACAGGCCAAAGGTGCAGGGGCGGTAAGAAGACTCACCAGAGTGGGGAGCAAAGCAGGCAGATTGACAAGTACACTGCTGAGGGCAGCAACGGATAAGAAAGAAGTTCCCTGTGCCGTATGGGTCACCTCCCTAGCCAGAACGAGAACTTGTGCTGCAGTGGCTGCAGATAGCTTCACAATGCTTGTCTTAACTGTTTGTACCATTAGGGAGGGCCAAATTTCTGTCCTTATTTTATACATAAGAACACAAGCTCTGAAAGGTTAAAAAATTTGCCTAAGGTGAATAAGGGAAAAAATGTTTTCCAGGAAAATGCTATTGTTGGAGCTCAGGGCTGAGTCCTTAAAGAATGAAGTGGGCTGTCAGTGGATAATGGCATCGTAGACAGAGGGCAATGTACACTAAGGCAGAGAAGTAGGAAGCTAAACTTGGTATACAGCTCAAAGTTAGATCTAAGTTCAAAAATATTTTTTGTGTGTGGTCTCTTATTGTGATTGTGACTTTATTATCTGTGAAATAGGAATAATAAGCCACATGCTGTAGAACTGCTATAAGATTAAAATAATGAAATATGGTATATGAAAATGACTAACAAGGATCAGGTCCACAATAGGTACTCAATAAATAAATGTAACCTCCTTCCTCGCCCTTGTTGCGAAGTCAGTAATCCCTACTCCCAAGAATGTCTTAACCATCTCCACTGGGCCCCAGGCCTGTCTTCCTTCCTCAAGTGTCCAAGCTTTATCAGGGTTTTTGGAGACAGCTATCAAAAGTCATTCAGCAAATTATCTGGTAATATCTTTAATCATCATTTCTCAAAGTGAGAATCATTCTCACACTACTCACCTGTGTAGGCCATGTTCTTAGGGTTGCCATAAGGAGCCCCAGGCTGCACGGGGCTGTAAACAGGGTTCATTGTGGAAGACAGTGGATCCTATAAAGAAAACAGAAATAGCACTGATTATTGAGTGCTCATTCTCTTTTGACTATATGTTGTTTCCCCTCTACCACCTTTAGTTTGTGCTTATAGTGAAGCAATAACATACAGTTGAAATATTAATCCAAAAGTCATCTGTTATTGTACTTGGGCCTATGCTAAACCCTTTCCATTTTACATATGAAGATACTGAGAAGCAAAGCGGTAAGAACAATTAGTCTGAATTGATCCCAGGCACTTGGCTCCCAGGGCTACTATCCCACATATGACTCTGCCTCTAATATACGGTTGAGCACTGCCCGAGTCACTTCTCCACTCTGGACTTCAATGTCTTGAGAGAAAATGAGTTAATTTAGCTCTCTGAGGTCCCTTCTAATTCTAATGATGCTACTCTATAGGCTGGAAAATGTTATACACTTTTCCTGGGGAGGCGGGGTGCCTAGTGATGAACACAGACTGGAGGAAGGAAGTGTCTCATCCACTTCCTTATAACTGCAGAGGGCAAGATACCTGTACTAGCAGCCTTAGGGGGGAAAAAAAAAAATCAAGATTTTATTTTCACTGATCATTTTAATGCAAACAAGAAAATACAGCCAAGCTTGAATAATTTATTCAAGGGAAAGAAATAAACTTGAAACTTTATGTGCAATAAATATCACCTGCTTAAGTGCTCTGTTAATTATCTTAATGAAGCACATTCTCCATTCTGATTAACGAATATCTGTCATTAAGTTCCATTAGCCAGTCAATTTGTCCCACCTTGTTAGAGGAACACTTCTAACATATAGGCTAACACATGTTTGAAAATGTGTCTCCAAATATATTTTTTATACTTCATAAAAATCCAACAATCAAACAATTCCCTCCTAACTAGGTGCACATGATAGATGAGCAATTTTTTAGATCATTAACTTCTCCTGTAGTATCTCAGGATAGAAAAGAAGTTAAATGCTGAAGATAGGCAGTCAACAGCTGGCTTGATGATAGCTACCCAGCAATTAATTACTCTGTCCAGGGTTCTTGAATGAGATGTGTAGAAAGGGGTGCCTAAGGCGAGCAAGTTGTGAGCGCTATGAGTCAGGCCTGGAAAATCATCTCAGGGGGCCAAGCTATATTAAACTACCATTAGCTGACAATCTGAAGCTACATCTTGAAGATGAAAAGTTACAGGAGATATATGACACACAATTTAAAGAGTAAATATTCTCAGTCAGTAATCCAAGAATATAGCAAAATAACACTCTAAATATAAGCACTCTCCTGAGATGGCATGGAGATCAAAGATATTAAAATAAATTGCAAACTGTAAAGTGCCATGCGATATAAATAATAATGGTGATTGTAACACAGGTCTACAGTACAGTTTTTCTGCCTTGGATATCTTTTCTATCCAACCAGCTCTCTGCAAACAAGTCAGGGTAAGGAAAACTATCAATGTAATAAACAGCACAACTGGCCCTGCAACCAAATGAGCATCCTCCTACTGAGAAAGGATTCTGTGTTGCTGATTGGGCAAAGAATAAAACTGCTTTTCATAACCAAAGAAACTCTCAACTTTGCAATTGGTCTTCTGCTGCACCAAAATGAAGACCACAACCTCAAAAGGAGATCATGCCTGGGCAGCATTCCATAACAGCATCAATTCTAATCCCAATTAATAATGGACAGAAATGAGATTGATCAGAGGCTCAAAACTTGGAATAAGAATGCAACCGTCACTTTGGGAGCAGCTCACAGGCATAGGGCTCCAAGATATCAAGGGGAGGTCCATGTATGTGAACAGAATTCACAGCTATCAAATTTCAGGGACAGACTAAACTGAAGATCACAGCTCTATGATCAGGCAGTCTTAGGTTCAAAAACTGGATCTGCCACATACCAACTGTGTCCTATAACCCTGCTAGATTAAAATGGAAGCTCTTCTATCTTTAAAATGCAAAACAACATATTTTGTAGATGTTATTATGTAAGAAAACATCCTACAGGTGTTTTTTTAAAAGACAGGTTTAGGGCCTTCCCTGGTAGCACAGTTGGTTAAACCGCAGCACAGCAAAGCTGGCAGCTGCTGCTTGGTGAGAGTTCGATCCCTGCCTGGAGGTGATCCACATGGCACAGCAGTCTTCTCCTGTCTTGCCTGCTGCTCCCCTCAGCAGTGTACTTCATTAATCTGCCTGTTTTGCTCCTCACTATGATTCTGGTGAATCTTCTCACTGCCCCTCCCTGCACCTCTGGCCTGTTCTGTATGCAGAACTAAATCTTAAAAAAAAAAAAAAAAAAGTAGTTTAAGTACAATTTAGATAGAGTGAAACTTAACCCCTTTTAGGAGTACAGTTCTATGAGAACTGAAAGTTTAAGCAGTTGTACAAATACCACAACTAAGATATAAAGTATGTTCATTACCCCCAGAAAGTCAATATTCTCCGAATCCCCAGTCTGTGGCAGCCATTTATCTGTTCTCTGGTGTCTGATACACACACATATCAATGCTGCATTTTACAGAAGAAAAAAGGGAGTCTAAGAAAAGGCAAATGAACAGTACAAGTTAGAAATGCAAATAAAGGTCAATGTCAACACTAGCACCACAAAAGGGCCAAAGACCTAAACTGAAAGAGCTAAAAATAAAAAAACTCTTAGGAGAATGAAAACACATGCATAAACCCTTGTGACTTTGGATTTATAATGCTTTTTTAGATATTCTATGACACTAATACCACAACCAAAAGGAAAAAACCTGGACTCACCAAAACTAAGATTCTGTTTGTTGTAAAAGACAATCCACAGAAGGAGGGAAAAATTTGCAGGTCATATCACAATAAGGAATTTGTATTTTAAAAATGGGCGAAGAATCTGAATATACAGTTCTTCAAAGAAGTTGTAGAAATAGCCAAGAAGCACGTGGAAGATGCAAGTCAAGAGCACAATGACATACCACTTCATACACACTAGCATGGCTATAACAACAAAAAAATCAATTAAAAAGTGTTGGCAAAATAGTACCTTCATACAATGCTGCAAAGAATGTAACATTAAAATGATTCTTCCACACAACACAGCAATTCCACTCCGAGGCATCTACACGAAGAACACTTAAACGCTAATTTAAAAAAGAAACCCCCCACTCCTTTAGTGCATCGTTATTTACAATATCCAAGACCTGGAAACAATCTAAATGCCCCAAAACAGATGAGTGGCTCAAGATGTGGTGTATGCATACAATGAATACTCCTCAGCAATCAAAAAAGACAAAACTCATGCCATCTGTGGCATTATGGATGGAACTGGAAGGGATTATGCAAAGTGAAAGGAGAAAGATAAATATTGGTGATGTCACTTACATGTGGAAGCAAACAAGGAGTCAAACAGACAAACTATAAAAACAATATTTGAAAACTGACTGTAGATCTGAGGAATCTAAGCAAGAAAGGGAGAGAGAAAAAAGGATGGGGAGGGATTGGGGGTGGGGGGACCGACGAGAAGAAGGGGAAAGTACAACAGATTATGGTGGTGGACTATGGGTGTTTGGTGATGAGTTATGGTGACCACACCTAAGGGGAGAAATCCTGTATTGTCAAAATATTAACAAAGATGTAACACAAAGGTACTTCATTAATAAAAATAAAAATGAGGCCCTCCCTGGTGGTGCAACAGGTTAGGATGCAGCACTGCAAGCAAGCCACAGCCACTTCAGTGTGGGTTCGATCCCCATCTCCGGAGGTGATCCACATGACCCACGTGCTGCTCCCCTCAGCAGTGTATTTTGGCCATCTGTCTGTTCTGCTGCCCACTCTGATTTTTTGGTAAATCTTCTCACTGCCCCTGCATCTCTTGCTTGTACCTCAGTTCTGTATGCATAAACAGATAAATCTTTAAATAATAAAAATGAGACCAAAGATTAAAAAAGTAAGATTTGATCCAGCAATACCACTCTTAGATCTATACCAAAAACAAATGAAAATATATGTCCACATGAATGTTCATGGCAACAGTATTAGTAATAGTTAAAAGGTGGAAACAACCCAAATGTTCAATTGGTAAATGGATAAAATGTGGTATATTTGTGTAATATGTGGCAAAAAAAAAAGGAATGAAGTACAGATATATGCCACAACATAGATGAAACTTGAAAGCATTGCACAAGAAGCCAGACACAAAAGGCCACATATTACATGATTCCATTTATATGAAATGTCCGTAGAGGAATCTACAGTGACAGAAAGTAACCCTAGTGCCTAGGTTTGGGAAGAAGGAAAAGGAGATTGGAGAGGTGACAACTAAGGGGTTTGGGTTTTTAATGAAACACAAAAAATGTTCTAAAATGGGTTGTCGTAATCAATAGCAACTTGATGAATTATAGTAAAAATCATTTGACTTTATGCTTTCAGATCAGTGAATTGTATGGCATAAGAATTATGTCTTAATATAGTGAATTCTATTAAAAAGGAATGATTACTGATCATGCTACAACATGGGGATGAATCTTGAAAACTATACATTGAAAGAAGCCAGACACAAAATACCACATATGGTGTGATTACCAATATATGAAATATCCAGAACAGGCAAATCTACAGAGAAGAGATATCAGTAGCTATCTACATTAGTTCGTGATACATGAAACCTAATAACTTCCAAATCCACACCTTTCTCAATGTAGTTCTTTTTAACAATAACCTCACCCACATACATATACCTTTTCCTGAACATCTCTTCTTGGTAATTCCACAAGCAATTCAAACTCTCCATGTCTAAATGTGAACTCCCCACCTTTCCCCAAACCCATCTGGGTAAAGCAGGAGGCCAATTTAGCAGGAATACAGTGAATGAAAGTAAAAAAGCTGAAAGTCATCCTAAAAACCTTCCAGTCAACTGACCACCCAATGGTTCACCAAGTCCTAACAATCCTACCTTTCTCATTGTTATTGCCCTCTTATTCACATTACATCATCTCTTATCTGAATTTTTACAGCTCCCCCCCCCCATTCTAACCCATTCTATTT